AAATATTTAGGCAATTAAATTGCTAAATGATTTGATTGTTTCTGAAAGAAATTCCCTCATAATGCTGCCTTGAGTTTTTATTCTCCCTTCTTAAAGCAACCTGTGAAAGGGATGTGCAGATCTAGCCGTCTGCGTGGTGGTTCTACCTGGCTGAATCCAGCACGTCCTCAGGTTAGGGCCCCGGATCCAAGCCCTCCCCTGGCTCCGTGGTGGCTAAAGCCAGCTTACATGGACTCAGGAAACAATCAAATTTTCACATCTTTTACTAATTCTGCATTCAGTGACTTCATGTTAGTAGCCTGAAATTGGCCATGATGGGAGTGTTTACACTGCAGAAATTGGCAACTGCAATAAACCAAGGGGTTTTTTTCTTCAGAGAGTCACCGCTGCCTTTACTCACCTCCTGTACCCACACCCATCTATGGCGCCCAGGGATGATAAAACCCTGAGAGAGTTTGTAGGTTTATACCATTTGCCCAAGTCACAGCTGTGAGCCTCCCTCAACTGTCTCGGGGGACTGGGGCAGTCGACTGGCAGCATAGTGCAAGATGGTTGTGCCTCTGTCCCAGGGGTCCTTGTGCCTCCCTGCCAGGGGAGTGTAGTCTGGGGAAAAGAGCACCTGCCTGAACATCGGGAGAGCTCAGGTGTCCCTGAGCGTCAGCAGGGAAGGTGACTGGGTCCTGGTCACCAGCAACGTGGATGGGCTGGGCCTAGGCACATTTCCTGGGCTCCAGTGTGGTGGCCTTTCTGTTGGTCTAAGCTGCCCCACTCACAGTCCCAAAAAATTTGTTGTGCTACTTCTAAATATAGAAAAGTTTTGTTTCTGTGAATTTACAATTCTCCAGGAAGCTGAGTCCTGGTCCCTGGTGGGCCTTTGAGCTGCCCGCCTTGAAGGACTTGGACAGACAAACACGGGAGGGGGGGCGACCTAAGCGGGAGAAGACTGGGACAGGCTGCAGAGAAACACTGGAGGAGGATTTCAAGTCTCACTGTGGGTGCCAGACCGTCTTCTGGATTTCCCCACCCAAATCGTCACTAAACTTGACCTTGCTCCCTGATGTCTTTGAATGGGTGAAATTTGGAGGAGAGGGGATGGTGGCAGTTTGAGAAGAAGGATGAGGACCAGCTCCACTGGTCACACGTGGAGAACACCACAGACCAAGGAGGACGGCCCGCCGGGGCAGTCACAGGCCTCCCTGGGAGGAGGACGAGGCCCTGTCTTGCTGCTCTGTCCTCCTGGCAGGCGGCCTGTTTGGGAAAACCACACCCAAGTCCATCTGTAGCAAGTGCCCCAACTTCCCCTTGTGAGGAAGATGAGGGATGTCCCAGCCCATGAGGGGGGGAAACTGAGGTCAAGTAAATCACAGGGACACGTGATCCCTACCCCATGGAGGGCGTGTGTGCAGTGCTGAGCATCAGCTCCTTGCGTCCCAGCTGTGCCAGCTGTTGGTCTACAGAGCCCCAGCACCCCCAAGCTCAGAGCGACTCACCAGCAGCCAGGCACATGGAGAGGCCTGGAAGATCCTCCTCTGCATGCCCTTGTTCTCTGTCCCAGCCTGGGGGTGTGGCCAGGTCTTAACTTCAGAAAGAGGCCCCAGCAGCTGCTGTTCCATGCAGAGCCAGCCACAGAGACCCAACTCTGAGGGCGAGGACCCCAGGCCAGGCAGTGGACAACTGGGCATCTCTCTCTCTTCCTCTCTGTCTCTCTCTGCCTCCCCTCTCCCCCCATAGTCTGCGCCCTCACTCCCTACAGGCTAACTAGCCCACAGCAAACAGCTAAATATAGTGCCTTATTCTTTGACTCCTAGAAATCGGCCACAAACTGTCCATCAACATTAATTTCTCAGCTCAGCTATTCCAGTCACGGAGAAACTGCTGCTCCTGGAACTTCACTGCGCTGCTCTCAAGCCCATCTTTGGGGGGGCTCTGCATGTGAGCAAACACAGATTTGAGAGGGCAGCTTTAGAGTGTGAAACAGTCATAGACTATGAAATTGGAGAAACCAGGATTCAAATCTTCACTGCTTCCTAGCTGTGTGACCTCAGGCAAATTACTTAACCTCTCTGAGCCTCATTGTCTTCATCTGTGCACAATAGGGCTAATAGTGCCTGGCTCACAGGACTGCTAGTGTGGTTAACCAGGACCATGGATGTAAAGCTCTAGCCAAGGCTGGGCACAGAGGAGGGCTGGGTCACTGTTCCTTCCCCTCCCTATGGAAAGTCATTGCTTGCCTGTCCCGCAGTAGAACAGAAACTAGAACTATAATGCCTGCCCCGGAAAAGTGGTTTTATGGAGATGCACAAAATCAGTGGTTACAGACACAGTACCTGTCCCTATGCCCTGACCTTCCTCTTCGACACTGCGGGCTGTCCTATGTGCCTCCCGGGTAGCCAGTGCATGCGGGCGCACACACACGGGCGCCTGCACATGAGTGAGTGCAGGCACACAGCCCCCCCCCCAGGAATCAGGGCATGGGCAGGGAACAAGCACCCTGCCCGCCTGGCCCCGCCCCCACCTGCCCCACCGGCGCCCCCACCCGCACCACCCCAGCCCGCCCCCACCCGCCACCGCCACCCCACCGCCCCACCCAGCCCGCCCCCCACACCCAGCCGCCCCCCCAGCCCCACCCGCACCACCCCAGCCTGGCCCCGCGTGTGGAGGGCTCTGGCGCCCTCTGCTGGCCGCAGTGCCGCCTGCGCCCACAGCCGGCCCCGGCCGCGCCGCGCAGAGGCCCGGGGAAGCGGGGAGAAGGGCGGGAAGAGGGAAACCCTGAACGGAGGCCAGGAAGGGGGGGGGCGGGAGGGAGAAGAGAACCGGGCCCATTCTGTCCAGAAGCCACCAGGCTGAGGATCCAGCGGTGTGGTCACGCCGCCGACCACAGAGGGCGTCCGGGAGAGTCCTCCCCAGGTGCTCGGCCCCGCGGCTTCTCAGGCTCCCGCTGAGATACCTGTGAGGCCCATGACAGGTGGCCTGCCGGCCGGAGCATTTGCACCTGCTCTGGAATGCCAGGGCCCAGGCCTTTGGTCCTGGAGGCAGGAGAGCTTGACGCGGGAAGGCGAGCGCCGCCCTGCCCGGCGGGCCGCGTGGGCCTGCGCCGTGTGCCAGAGCGGGTGGCACGGTTGGCTGCCCAGGGCGCTGCCAACTCCCGGGGCGCGCCCAGGGCAGGGCCTGGGCTAGTGCACACGGAGTGCCCGCAAACGCCAGCCCGCAGCACAGCCAGGGAGCCCACCTCCCCGGTTTTCAGAGCGGCCCACTGAGGGTCGCTGCTCTCTCACAGCAGACCTCAAAAGTTACCACACTCAGAAGCTGTCAGGGTCATATGTTCAGTCTGGGACAGAAACCCGACCGCAGGAGAAGAAAGAATTGCGGCAGACCTGCAGCAGAAGCAACACCGCGGACTGTCCCCTCCTGGCGGGCTGTCACTGCTGCTCTGGCTGCCCCCTTCCCCCACAGACCCCAGTGACTCTCTCATGGAGGCACTGCGCGTCCTCTGAAGCCCGAGAGGAAGGCCATTGGGTGGGCACCCACGTGTGGGCTGAGCGCGCCACCGCACACGCTCAATCTCCCACTGCCTGCTGTTTCCCTCTCCCCACCCAGGCAGCTCAGAGTATGTTCGCTGTCACAGACTAAGCTGACGTCACCTGGTGGTGACATCTTGTCTCATCCTTAATAAAAGTTTCCTATGGCTTCCGAGGAGCCAAAAATGCCCCACCCCATCTCCCATGAAGAGGGGAGCAGGTAGCCCCTCCCACAAACCCTGCACACCCACATGGCAAATGACCCCTCCCGATCCCTGCCCCTCTTCCAGTGACCGTGGGAGCTGGTGGCTGATGACAGAAGAGGGGAGATGGCACCAGCTGCGGACCACCCACTGACAACCTTCTGAGTGCAGGAGGCAGGGCCCCCAGTGTCTTTCTGTTCAGCTTTGAGTGTTCGCTGCAATTCCAGAGCTGGAGGGAAAGTCCCACACAACATCCTGTTGTGCTGGTGCAGAACTCTCCTCCCTCCCAGATCCCAGCTGAACTGATCAAAACACTATAATGTTGGCCTGGAAGCCAGGGAAGGCATGTTCCCATTCCAGGAATGCTGGGATCTCTGTAAAATTGCAAGACCCAGATTAAAGGGAGACCCCAAGAAACCCATGTTCCTTCTTCCCTGATAGTGTGGGCACAGGTCTTATCACAGCTACACCGAATACCCAGGGGAACTGCCTGGAAACCTGACCCTGGGCACACAGAGCTGGCCCTTGCTGCAGGGCAAGGCTCCCTGCTGGGCCTGGCCCCCGCCTGCTCCCACCCCTTCTCCAGCTGCATCCCTGGGCTGGGGATGGCCCTTGGGAGACTCTACCCGGAGTGGGAAGAGAAGGACAGGACACACACATACATGCCCATGGCCAGCTAGATCTGCAGGTCAATGCTGGTGATGAGTTGGGGTTACATATGTCACAGGCTTGTGTTCACAGCCAACTGCTAACGTAAAATTGCCTTTTCAGTCTTAAAATGCGACAGGACAATCGGAACACCATCCAAGTGCATGGTGAGCTGAAGAGAATCCATTTCCTTCCCCTCGTTTGAAGGAAAATAATAAAATTTTATAAAACACGTCTTTTAAGCCAGATGTAGTGGTACATGCCAGTAGTTCCAGCTACTCGGAAGGCTGAGGTGGGAGGATTACTAAGCTGAGCCCAGGAGTTCAAGGCCAGCCTGGGCAAGATAGTGAGATCCCACTTCTATAAATTAAAACAAGTTTTAAAAAATTCTTTTAAAGTTTAAAACACTAATTTTTAAAGCAGAAGTACACAGAAAGGCAAACACACCTCTGCACACATGAACACGTGTGCACACACATATACTCGGAAACACGCAGAGCCTTTGAAAACATTCTGATCGTGAAAGGAAGAGAGGGTGTCCCTCAAAGGACAGAGAAAAAGAATTCCTTTGAGAAAGATGTATCACAGAAGCATAAATAACTTTCAGACCACATCTGCTTTGTATGCAATTCTTTCAATTAAAACATGAACTCTAAGAGATGAGATTTGCAAACACGATAGGAAGAGTGAGCTGAGAAGCTGCTGGCTGGGATGCAGGTGGAAACAGACAGCAAACCGCGGCGGAGAGAGGCAGGCTGGAAAGACACTCAAAAGGCCGCGGAAGTTTCGATCGCACTCGGCAGTGCCGCAGGAACAGAACTGGAACTCTGGAAGGTGGAATCTGAGAGTGTGGAGGGCAAATATGAGAAGATCTGTGAGAATGCAGAGGAAAAGCCCAAGAGGATAAAAAACAGAGAGTGTGCTAGGACTCCAGGCCTAGCACACTGAGCACATGAAACAGCAAGGGTCACAGGGCAAGGAAGATGACGATATTCTGGAGCTGACAAAAAGCCTGAGCCCACGGGTGTAAAAGGCTCCTCTTTGTCTGAGTCAAATCATAAAAAGAAATGGACACCTAGAAATACCATGCAGAATTTTTTCAGTCTAAGGTTAAAGAAAAAGTTCTATAGGCACCCGTGCAGAGGGAAACATGGGGAAAATATCTACACAGTTCTTAAAGCATGTCATTGGAAGAGAGGTTCCATGGAATTTGGTAAGTATTTATGCTGGGGAAAAAATCTTCTGTCATAATATAAACTTGGGAAATGCTGAATTAAGCAGAACAAGACAAAATCCTACACCGAGGCTTTTGCAGGGCTTTTAAAGTGTTTGTGCCTGTTGTTAAACAGGCAATATTAGCAAGCACAGTTTTCCCAGCAAGGGGCCCATTCTGTCCAGAAGCCACCAGGCTGAGGATCCAGCGGTGTGGTCACGCGCCGACCACAGAGGCTGCTCCCGGGAGAGTCCTCCCCAGGTGCTCGGGCCCGCGGCTTCTCAGGCTCCGCTGAGATACCTGTGAGGCCCATGACAGGGCTGCCTGCCGGCCCGGAGCATTTGCCACCTGCTCTGGGAATGGCCAGGCCCAGGCCTTTGGTCCTGGAGGCAGGAGAGCTTGACGCGGGGAAGGCGAGCGCCGCCCTGCCCCGGCGGGCCGCGTGGGCCTGCGCCGTGTGCAGAGCGGGGTGGCACGGTTGGCTGCCGAGGGCGCTGCAACTCCCGGGGCGCGGCCCAGGGCAGGGCCTGGGCTAGTGCACACCGAGTGCCGGCAAACGCCAGCCCGCAGCACAGCCAGGGAGCCCACTCTCCCGGGTTTTCAGAGCGGGGCCACTGAGGGTCGCTGCTCCCTCACAGCAGAGCCTCCAAGTCACCACACTCAGAAGCTGTCAGGGTCATATGTTCTGTCTGGGACAAAACCCGACCGCAGGGAGAAGAAAGAATGCGGCAGACCTGCAGCAGGAAGCAACACCTGCGACTGTCCCCTCCTGGGCGGGCTGTCACTGCTGCTCTGGCTGCTCCCCTTCCCCCCACGACCCCAGTGACTCTCTCATGGAGGCACTGCGTGTCCTCTGAAGCCGGAGAGGAAGGCCCCTTGGGTGGGCACCCACGTGTGGGCTGAGCCCGGCCACCGCACACGCCTCTCTCCCCACCTGCCAGCTGTTTCCCTCTTCCCCACCCAGGCAGCTCAGAGGTATGTTCTGCTGTCCACAGACTAAGCTGACGTCACCTGTGGGGTGACATGCTTGTCTCTCCTTATAAGAAGTTTCCTTATGGGTTCAGGGAGCAAAAATGCCCCACCCCATCTCCCATGAAGAGGGGAGCAGGTAGCCCCTCCCACAAACCCTGCACACCCACATGGCAAATGACCCCTCCCGATCCCTGCCCCTCTTCCAGTGACCGTGGGAGCTGGTGGCTGATGACAGAAGAGGGGAGATGGCACCAGCTGCGGACCACCCACTGACAACCTTCTGAGTGCAGGAGGCAGGGCCCCCAGTGTCTTTCTGTTCAGCTTTGAGTGTTCGCTGCAATTCCAGAGCTGGAGGGAAAGTCCCACACAACATCCTGTTGTGCTGGTGCAGAACTCTCCTCCCTCCCAGATCCCAGCTGAACTGATCAAAACACTATAATGTTGGCCTGGAAGCCAGGGAAGGCATGTTCCCATTCCAGGAATGCTGGGATCTCTGTAAAATTGCAAGACCCAGATTAAAGGGAGACCCCAAGAAACCCATGTTCCTTCTTCCCTGATAGTGTGGGCACAGGTCTTATCACAGCTACACCGAATACCCAGGGGAACTGCCTGGAAACCTGACCCTGGGCACACAGAGCTGGCCCTTGCTGCAGGGCAAGGCTCCCTGCTGGGCCTGGCCCCCGCATGCTCCCACCCCTTCTCCAGCTGCATCCCTGGGCTGGGGATGGCCCTTGGGAGACTCTACCCGGAGTGGGAAGAGAAGGACAGGACACACACATACATGCCCATGGCCAGCTAGATCTGCAGGTCAATGCTGGTGATGAGTTGGGGTTACGTATGTCACAGGCTTGTGTTCACAGCCAACTGGTAACGTAAAATTGCCTTTTCAGTCTTAAAATGCGACAGGACAATCGGAACACCATCCAAGTGCATGGTGAGCTAAAGAGAATCCATTTCCTTCCCCTCGTTTGAAGGAAAATAATAAAATTTTATAAAACACGTCTTTTAAGCCAGATGTAGTGGTACATGCCAGTAGTTCCAGCTACTCGGAAGGCTGAGGTGGGAGGATTACTAAGCTGAGCCCAGGAGTTCAAGGCCAGCCTGGGCAAGATAGTGAGATCCCACTTCTATAAATTAAAACAAGTTTTAAAAAATTCTTTTAAAGTTTAAAACACTAATTTTTAAAGCAGAAGTACACAGAAAGGCAAACACACCTCTGCACACATGAACACGTGTGCACACACATATACTCGGAAACACGCAGAGCCTTTGAAAACATTCTGATCGTGAAAGGAAGAGAGGGTGTCCCTCCAAGGACAGAGAAAAAGAATTCCTTTGAGAAAGATGTATCACAGAAGCATAAATAACTTTCAGACCACATCTGCTTTGTATGCAATTCTTTCAATTAAAACATGAACTCTAAGAGATGAGATTTGCAAACACGATAGGAAGAGTGAGCTGAGAAGCTGCTGGCTGGGATGCAGGTGGAAACAGACAGCAAACCGCGGCGGAGAGAGGCAGGCTGGAAAGACACTCAAAAGGCTCCTGATCACCAGCTGTACCTATTCCCTGATAGTAACGCATTTAATACATCACTTCCAGGTCTTTCATACAATCCTTGAATTGACGTAATTGTTTTAATTTATTCGTTTTATTTGGGTCAAGGTTGAGAACTGCAGCCAGGACTTGATTTTTCATTTACTATTATTCGGTTTCCTTTGTATATTGTGATACCTTAGATTCGACGATCTAGTCATCCTGCACCGCCTCAAGACAGAACAGTCTCGGCGAGGTAGTTGATGAGATTGATATTTACCCACCTCAACCATAGCAACGAAATGAGGCATTAAGACCCAAGAGACACTGTCGTGCCACCCATGCTATGCAATTGCTCCAGTTAGTCATGTGGGCATGGAGCTGAGTAGACAAAACCTAGGCTTACGCTTCCTCTTATCACACGTGGCATTGGAACACTTGCTATACTCTTCTCAAGATTGGGCACCCGATTTGATTGTAAGGTATTAATTTTGTCATGGATCATCAAACTGTGGATCCTCTATAATAATACATGGTCTGGAATGGAGGAGACAGGTTGGGTTCCACGGCCAGCAAAACAACTTGTGAGTCGCCGTGGTTCTGGATGCACACAGGTCTTACCCACGACTAACTTTCCCAACTATGCGCCTGAGAAATCCTGTAGGTGCATATACATTGAGTTTACGGTTAATGCTTTACGCATCGAAAGCCACATGTCCCGCTATGTGAGTCTGAGCCTGAGTGTTTTCCATGAGATCATACAAGCCAGGACAGACACACTTTCTCCTAAATGACAGTTGCACGCTCCATGGCAATGAAAGCCCGGCTGTGTAAACAGCCTGCGAAGACTTGGTTTCGCTTCCGTATGACTGTCAATGCTCTAATAGTGCTTCCTGCGGGCCAGCTCCATGGAGCAGAAACAGATCTGATGTTCCTCAAGCAGAGAGCGTCTTATATTTAATTCATCAGCTTCCTCTTCAAGTGCTACTGGACTGTAGCAACAGGATTATGACAGAAGTTTTTTCCCCAGCATAAATACTTACCAAATTCCATGGAACCTCTCTTCCAATGAAATGCTTAAGAACTGTGTAGATATTTTCCCCATGTTTCCCTCTGCACGGGTGCCTATAGAACTTTTCTTTAACCTTAGACTGAAAAAATTCTGCATGGTATTTCTAGGTGTCCATTTCTTTTTATGATTTGACTCAGACAAAGAGGAGCCTTTACACCCGTGGGCTCAGGCTTTTTGTCAGCTCCAGAATATCGTCATCTTCCTTGCCTGTGACCCTTGCTGTTTCATGTGCTCAGTGTGCTAGGCCTGGAGTCCTAGCACACTCTCGTTTTTTATCCTCTTGGGCTTTTCCTCTGCATTCTCACAGATCTCTCATATTTGCCTCCCACACTCTCAGATTCCACCTTCCAGAGTCCAGTTCTGTTCCTGCGGCACTGCCGAGTGCGATCGAAACTTCCCCG